ATTTTACTTTGGTTTCTTTTTGATATAATTTTTCTTCTTTTTCTTAGTTTTTCTTTGATATAACTTATGTTTTCTTCATTTTCTTATTAGCCTTTTTCATTTGGTTTTTTGTTTCTTTCTTGATTTTCAAAGTTTTTTTTCTTTTTCTCTGCTTCTTTATGGGTTTTCACTGCTTTTTCATTCTTTTTGCACTTGTTTCTTTGTTCTTTTTTCTATGTTTTTTTGTTTTAATTGTTTTTTGCTTTCCTTTGTTTCATTTGGTTTTCATTTTACATTTTCCATATATAGGTTAAACATTTTTTTAATATTTATAATACATGTTTAACATTTTTCAAATATAGGTTAAAGATTTTTAATACGTGGCCAACATTTTTCTGATGCACATTTTTAACATTTTTCAAATCCTTGATTAACATTTTTCAAATACAAGATTAATAGTTCTTTAATACATAGTTAACATTTTTTATATACACATTTTAAACATTTTTATATGCTTTATTAACATTTTCCAAATACAAGATATACATGTTTTTATTGCATGGTCAAGATTTTTCTATACACATTTAACATTTTTTAAATTCTGACATTATTTCCAATGCAATATTAAGATTTTTTTAATACATGGTCAACATGTTTTCTATATAGATTTACATTTATCAGATACTTGATTATTATTTTTTAACTACAAGTTTAACATTTTTCTAATACAATACAAGATTAACATGTTTTTAATGCATGGTCAACATTTTTGCTATACACATATAAGTTTTTTCAAATGCTTGATTAACCTTTTCGAATATAAATGTTAAGCATTTATACATGCTCAACATTTTTCTATATACATTTAACATTTTTCGAATACTTGATTAACATGTTTCAAATACAATACAAGATTAAAACATTTAATACATGGTCAACATTTTTTCTATACACATTTAACATTTTTCCAAATACTTGATTAACCTTTTTGAAATACATATGTTAGACATTTGTTGAATACATCGTCTTCTATACACATTTAACATTTTCAAATGCGCTTCATGTCGTGACCTTCCTGGAGGCTGGAGGTGTTGTCAGGGGCCTTGGGGCTCGGTTGGGAGTGTAGAGGAATTGCAGGTGGAGGGGATGGGACCAAGTGCCAGCAGGTGGAGGGGATGGGACCAGTGGCAGCATGTGGTGTTCGCGAAGGAGGTGTCGTGTTGCATCTGATACATCGACAACGGCGGGTCTCGGCGGCATGGAGCAGCGGGGTCTCGCTATTAGGTGTGTGTGTTGATGGACGAGCGCAGGATGGCGGCGGTGTCTGACATCGTGGTGGCGTCGACGGCAGCTAGGCCGGGCAAGGTTGATGCGTCAGTACAGCTCTGAAGATGGATTGGTGCCAGTTGGCGGCAAACGGCCTCTGAGTGTGCGCCAGTCCGGTAGGTGCCTCATACCCGGCAGGTGGCTTGGTTGGGGCCTCGGGTCTTAGATGTTAAGTTTGGCTGCGAGGTTTGTTTGGTATTAGGCCCAGACTATCAGGATCCCTTCATCAACTGGATAGGAGTAACGACAAATGTTGCCTAGACGGTGGCTTCAGTCTTACTGATGTATTACTTTGTAAGATCTTTTGTGAATAATTAATAAAGTGGCTGCATGCATCGCCTAGTTGTAGAGGCCAGGGGTCTTCCTCCTTTTCCCAAAAAATGCTCGATTAATATTTTTCAAGAACTTGTTTAACATTTTTTTCAAATGCTTGATTATTATTTTTTAAATACATGATCAACTTTTTCACACACATTTTATATTTTTCTATGTACATGAGACACATTTTCTCTATATGCATTTAACATTTGGAAGGAGGAAACAAAAGTAAAAAAAAGCAAATAAAAAAACAGAAACAAAAAAGGGAGGTTGTGGCCTCCCGCGCACCCCATCTCGTGCCTCCTTTAGGCGAGCCTTCCTCGGTCTTGCTTGAAGCAAGGTATAGTTGTGCCCTCCCGCGGGCCAAGCACGTCACTGGTCGAGCACGTGTGCTAACGGGCCGGCCCGTGAGATTCGAACCATACGGCCAGCAATAGTGATTACTCATGCTCATGAGTAAAACAGGCTCCATTTGGATATACTGGGCAATATGGGCTAGGGAGATAAGCGGAAATTCATAGTTGATCCCGAGCTCATATGCTCCCATGAAAATAAATTCAAAAAGTAAACAAATATAATAGTTTTTTTTTGAAAATTTCCAATTGTTTACTTAAAAGATGCTCGGGGTGTGTTAGGTGCATGCAAAATTTCATGTAGAATGAAATTCTAGGGGCTTTGGACAAAAAACACAATTCTCCAAAGAAACAAGCATTCTGAAACACTGACTTTGTATTTTCTTTAGAGCTTCTCGGGTGTCATTTCTTGATGAAATTTTACTCACATTTAGAACACTCGAGCATCATTGGTACCAATTTCTTTTCCAGGTTTATCGATTCTATTTTATTCTTTCAATTTACTATCCGCACGAGAACATATGAGCTCAGGTGGAGAAATGTCGTGTCAAGAAATAAAGTATCTTTCTATAGAAAAGTTATTGGGATTCTAACATTTTGATTGGTCCACATTGCATTGTACGAACAGTCTGATCCGCTAATATCTTTTACCGGCCTTAGGTGCTCAAAGTCGGGACTAGCAGAAACCTCGTTCTCTTCTCCCTGGAGTGGCGGTGTCTTAGTGGGCAAGACAGAGGGGACTGGCAAGAGCTAGGGCTCCACGTAATCCCAATTTTGTGCATGTATGTTATTGTTTTGTGCTTTTAACCTTTCAGATTTTATGAAAAATACATGTATTAATGTAATTTGGCTCCTGTTGTCAAAAGTATGAGTCATGTGATTCTTGACTCCGCCACCGGCGGTGTCCCACCTTTGGCCAAGCTCCATCTCACCAGCCACATAACATATGTGCTCCTCCCCTTGAAGCCGCGACTACTCTGCCCTAAGTGGACGTCCATCCGCCCGAAACTCCATGCCTGCCTTTATTCACTGCAATCCTCCTCAAGGTGACTCTGTTCAGGACGAATGTCAGTCTTTCGACAAAATGTTAGTGTATGAATGTTCTGATTGGATAATGACTCCTCACTACACACAACGGGTGGTTGTTGAACTGCTAAGAAGACAAGTGCAAGGGGGAGGGGGTGCTCAATGCATTCACAACACATTACTCCCCTAGGCCCTAGAGCTCGTGACCATACCTCGTTAGCTACTCCTAGAAGGCAGCAATTTGCCAAACAGGTAGAATAGTGAGTCGTTAGTAGCAGGTAATGCAAAGATCAAAATGGTAATTTAACATTCTTATCCTTGCTATTATATCAGACACATCTATTGTTTCTTTGTTTCTTAATTAGAATCTTTCTCTTGAATTGCATAAGATATTACTTAGTTCTTTCCAACCGACAAAGAATGGATCTTGATTGGCGATGAGACGTCAAATATTCCTCATGTAGCTCATGTGGATGCAGCGCAAGTAACAAGGTTTGCCCGGCTCCGGCGAGGGATGGATGATGACAACAACGCACCTTCCGCTCGCTCTAGTGCTTGTAGTCGTCGCTAGGTGGTCCACGAACATAGTTGTAATTTTTATTGCCTCTGATGTTCTTTATACTGCCATGATTGATGATGAATATATTGAAAGTTTTCCAAAAAAAAAATCGTATGATATGTACAAGAATATGTATCAAATCATTGCCACTGCCATAACCACATTACATTTTGGACTTACCATCTCGGTGTGTGGGATTGGGATGACACAATTATTCTCATTTTTCTTACTCCCTCTCTCTCAGTTTACAGGGCGTGTGCGTATCCCTAGGTCATCAATTTGACCAACCTAATATAAGTTATATATTACAAAAAATATACCAATATAAACTTCAAATGTTCTACTTTCAAAAGGCATAATTTTTGTATTATATAGTTTATATTAGGGTGTTAAAATTGGCAACCTAGGTATACACGTAGGACTTGTAAACTGTGACGGAGGGAGTATCGTTTTGTAATTAATATGGATTAGTAAGAAACCTTGGTGACATGTTTTTAGAAGAAACATGCTGAAACTATCATTGCTTCCCTTGGTTCTAGGTTCTCAACCTTCAAATATATTTTTTGCCCAAACATGCATACATGCTTTCTTATTTGACCATGTTTCATATTCTTTGGCATTGATGGAATTCTTGCTGATCGCTTAATTGCAAGGAACATTTACCTGTTCTCAAAGATCCTAAAACATCTCAATAACTTTCAATGAATGGATGTTATGCTTCCAATATATGTTGACCTTGATTACGTTACATGAATCAATGTTATGCTTCTAGTATAATGGTGCAAACCTCCTCAAAATGTTTGTTTGCATTCCATTCACACGATCTCCTAACTTTAGTAGCAACAATCCATTCACATCATCGCAACATGTCGAGTACATAATTGCAGTGTTTTGCATGCTCCACTGATTAGTTTATGTATACGATATTTTCAAAGATGTCATGACGTGTAGAAAGAATCCAGGCTTCATGTTTGGAGATATTAAGTATTGGCTACACCAAGATGTAAGGGGAAAAAAATTCCATTACAGTGTGTGTTGCGGCTACTCTTTGTATATTGACAACGTTTTTGATGCATTTACTCTTTGTACATTGTGTATCATTTCAATCATCCCAAAGTGTGAACCTGTAGTGTTGCAGAAATTTACTCTTCATTCATAGTTACACTGAAAATTAACAATGATGGATGATGTGTGCACAAAGTATATATATAGGACAATACGTCAGGATATAATTCAGCGTCGCGGGATTGCGCAAGATCTTGTCTGGCTACACTGATGAAATGCTGATTGACTGGAACCCTGCAAATAAAAAATCTGAATGACTAGGACATTTGGCAAACACACTGGAATGGCCATCAGAATATCAATTTTGAAGCTAATACATCATTTGTTCCTTACCTCACGCAAAAACTTATGTCTGCATAGTAGACTGATTTTACTTACAATATGCCGCTCAAGAAACCCCTACAAAATGATGAACAATTCGGTAAGTGTCTTCCAGATGATAATAGTAACACAGGTCAACTGTCAACTGAGGGCATAAGTTACCAGAATCCAGAGGGCGCATTTTCCTTTTTCCTGCATTGAAAACAAGAACAATCAACCAAAAAGCAGAAATCATTCCAAGATCATGCCCAATGTTAAAAACTAGGATGTAGCTATTGAATAAAAGCAGTATATGAGTGGCATTTTATTGGCCCAGATATCCGCGTCGAGGCGAGGGTCGGAAACGGGAGAGCCTGCCTTGCCCCTGGTACTCGTATATATTTCTGAATATCATTGGGTACTCTTTTTGTAACGAAATTGGTACCACTTCTTACAGCTGGACAGTTTGATTTCCCATTATGGGCCTAGAATTATGGATTGTTGTCAAAGAACCTGTTACCACGATAAACTCTTCTTGCCCAAATTTTAGGGTGCCAGGAACCTTTTATTTGTATACACAATTAGGGAACTGTAAACCCCTCGATTTGAAAGTTCTCTTATACCTATTGTATTATTGTACCAAGTAATAACACTTGTTAGTATATCATTTAAAAGACTAGTTTGCATGACATACAACAATAAGCAATTAAGGCCAGACACTCTGAATGAAGACTACCTTAGGTCTTGAGTTTTCTCTTTTTATATTCTATGGGATACAGGGAGTCCTGAATTCTTTTTCTATTTCACTTACGTGACATTTGTTTTAGTTCATTAATCTATCTTTTGTTTCTAAGGGAATGTACAGCCCTGTAAGTTTGCTACTTCAGCTATTCAATACAAATACACTGTTGAACAACAACCTCACCAACCAACTTAACAATAAGCAAAATAATAATAATCAAAAGTATGTTTCTGGAATGGAACTTTTTTGGAGAACATGTTTCTACACAGAAACTAATACTGTGCAATTAAGTTCATTCCTAATACTCAATACCAATAGCTGCGCAATATCTGTGTTCCACAATTCATCTCAGTCATACCATTGACCAGCATATCAAAAGGAATAAACATATGGATCAGTTGTAAAGAAGGGGGCAGTGAAAGTCGCCCACTATTTTGCACAAATAGTATAATATTAACTGTAATGGCAGCTATAGCTATTTAAAAATTAGATAACAAGTTAAATAACTTCTATAAATTCTTACTTTTTTGTTCCTACAAAGGCATTGGTGATGTCATCAGCTGTTGGATTCCCGGTGAATTCAGCTAGCAAATCATATTTTTCTCCATTAGGTTCATCAACCCTTCGAAAAATCTCATATTTATTTGTATAAGCCATCCTGTATCAATAATTCAACCAAACTGTAATGACTGAAATTTTATCTAACTGTCGGCACCATTAGCAGAAGTATGATACTTTGGAGAGAAAAAGTAAGAGAGATAACCTTAAAGCGCCCATTATAGGATAAAATGTACCAGCATAGAAGAGAAGCCGGAAAGAATAACAAGTCTCAAATGATGCAGCATACTGAAGCCTCACATCTCTTCCCATTGTCTTCACCATGAAAATCAAGAAACAGCTGAATACTAGCTGTCATGCTATGATTAAGTGGAACTTATATGGAGCACTTACTTGCATTACGCCACTTGATGCAGGCATATCCTGTAAATGTAAATTTCAGGGATATTAAGGTTTGCAATGACGATGCCAAGAAACAATTCTCACCAGGTTGGATTTTTATTTCTAGAACACTCCTTCCTAGATTAGATTAGGCCCAAGCATTATATGAGCAAACAAACACAAACATTTTAGTTCCAATGAGATTTCCTAAGGGCAACAAAAGAGATAATAGAAACTACACTAATTTAAAAAATAAACAGGTCCAGGATACAAAGCAAAAATCTCTTAGAGACATGTCATGTGTGTGTGTGTGTGTGTGTGTGTGTGTGTGTGTGAGAGAGAGAGAGAGAGAGAGAGAGAGAGAGAGAGAGAGAGTTAGTATGCACCCAACCTTCAGGCGAGGATTTACAAGAATCACAGGTCTGTCACCAGCAGCATCAGTCATAGCTCTCATATCCTGCAAAACTCTAATATGATACTACAGATCGAAAAGGGTATATACTCTATAACTAGGAAAAAAAATACTAAGACATAGAATCTTTACATCAATTATGCAGTTTCCAACAGCATTTTGGGGAGCAATGAGAACAAACATGTCATCTTCTTTATCAATCTCACTAGCACCTGTAATCAAATTAAACATACAAGTAACAGAAACAGCAGAAAACAATAAAATGCACGACCAAAAAGAAACAGCAGAAAACAATAAAATGCACGACCAATAACAGGCAAAGCTACAGCCAAGGACAAGATGATCTGCCATCTCTGGAGCATTGCCACACAGCGGGCAGAGCACACTGCAAGGCCAACCCCTTGTCAAAAGCCTATCCGCCATGAGAATGCACCAACGCAGCAGAAACCACATGAAAAACCTGCATTTTGCTTCCGTCTTCGCCTTCCAGATGGCGTCTGGGTGGACATCCACTGGAGAGAAAGAGCCCTGGAATTGGATGGAGTAGGCCGAGGCCGCAGAGTAAGACCCATCCACCCACCATCTCCACGCAACTGAGTCCTGCACGGTGGGCTGAAGGGAGACGCCAGCGAGAAGTACCCAGAGTTGCGTGTACTCCTGGACCTGATGTTCCGTGGATATACCCGAAGGGGCCAAGCCCAGCTGTTGTCCTGAAGCGCCCTGAAGACTAAGATGCCTTTGCGCTTAATAAGCAGGAAGAGGCTTGGGGTGAACTCCCTTGGCACCCGACCACTAAGCCAGTGAGATGTCCAGAATTAGGGCATTGTGGCCATCCCCAATGGAAATTGAGACCGAGGATGCAAACAGCTCCTGGTCAACCGCACTGTTGGGCGAAGGCGTCCCCACCCAAGGCTTCTCTGAGTTCATCCGGTCAAACCACAACCATCTGAGGCGCAGCGCCATGCTGAACTTCTCAATGTCCTTGACGCCGAGCCCACCAAGGCACTTAGGCATGCACACCTGCGCCCAGCTGACTAAGCAATGCCCAC